GTGTGTGTGTGTGTGTGTGTGTGTGTGTGTGTGTGTGTGTGTGTTAGCCCAGTGATAAAAACCTGTGGCTGCACTGACACATACTGTATAAGGTCCTGTCAGAACTGGTCTTGTCACAGTCCAGGACAGCCATGAGTACAGCCACCCTGATCACTTCAGGACACTGTTTTCTACATGTTTGTCTCCATTGTCTACCTCTATCTGTAGTTAGATTGCAGAGGCAACAGGTCCAGGAGACAAACAGACAATGATTGTAGTGAAAATTAATTATCTGCCCAATGGCTCCACCTTTACACATGATGGTGGATAAACGTACTCTCTCCGCTCACCAGGATCCTTCAAACTGCACTGGCTCAGATAAACAAAAAGAACTAGCTTACATTCAGTGTGCTGCTTGTTGTCTTTGATCCTGGTTCAGTTGTTAGACCAGGTCTTTGTTCAGGTCCTAATTTGTCTCAGTGCAGGTGTTTTGTCCAGGTGTGACCTCTGACCTCTGGAATGTGTCAGTGAGCAGTGCAATCAGCAGGTTGACACACAAGATGGAGGATGCAGCCAGAAACGTCCCACACAGCAGAGGAGCCATGACATCATCCACCTTTACCATGGCAGCATACTCGTACTCGTCCACCAGAGTGATCCGGTACAAACTGTAGAGCAGACCTGAGACACACTGCATGCTGGGAACTGAGGACGAGCCTGTGGACACATCATCACATGTGTGTGAAAAGTCCTCACAAAGACAGGAAACCAGATCCAGAGGTGGTCTAACCTCCAAATATGATCCAGAAGCTGCAGGCGTAGGGGATGAAGATCTCAGCGTACAGGAAGAGGAAACACATCACATCTCCAAGAGTGTTCCCCAGCATGACAATAAACGGCCCCATCAGCCTGCACAAACGTCCATTCTTTTTTTAAAAAACACTTTCTAAAGAGGTTACTGTAGGCTAGTACCTGTTCACATTTACACATCATACACTTAAAGTGTTACTGTTGACTTTTACACTCAAAGTGTTACTGTGGAGTTTTACACTTAAAGTGTTACTGTTGACTTTTACACTCAAAGTGTTACTGTGGAGTTTTACACTTAAAGTGTTACTGTGGAGTTTTAAACTTAAAGTGTTACTGTGGAGTTTTACACTTAAAGTGTTACT